CTTATTCTATGTCATCTTTATTTATACATACAGTATCCCCGTGGTAGTTCTTTCTGATCTTTCTTTGTAATTGCCTTTTAAAAATAATAGCTACTTTGAGATCTTTAACAGTGTCCTGAGAGTTTGAGGTGTTACAAAACTGTGTTTCCAACTACTGTAAGCAGAATGGGCTATAGGACACTGATGATATGTCTCTCTTGGGAGCTGTATATGACTAACATTCTCTTATTAGGGGTCGATCTTGTAGCAGATTGTTTCAGAATACCAGTCCACCTCTGCCTGTCTGGTTAAAAGTCCAGATGGATCTCAGATTTGTGGACAGAAGTGAGGAAGCACTATTCAGCACTAGCTGTGAATACTTTCATAGCTGTGCTTCTGACCTAAAGATACAGTATAGTGATGCCTCGCTTAATGATGTTAATTTGTTCCAGCGAAATTGCTGTAGAGCGAAAACGTCGTTAAGCTAATAAAAAAAACCCATTTAAACAAATTAAAACCCAGTTAATGTGTTCCAATGGGCTAAAAACTCACAGTCTGGCGAAGATCCTTCATATGGCGGCCATTTTTGGTGCCTGTATAGCGAGGAATCTGTCCCTAAGCACAGCGGGGAGCCATTTTGAGCACCCGGTGGCCATTTTGAAAACCCGACGATCAGCTGTTTTGATCGTCGGAATGCGAAGAATCGGTTCCCGAAGCAGGGAACCAATCTTCGCAAAGTGAAAAAACCCAATGTAAAACATCATTTTGCGATCGCAAAAAGATCGTTGTATAGCGGATTTGTCGTAATGCGGGGCAATAGTTAAGCAGGGCACGACTGTACATGTTATTGTTGAAGGTGAAATAGTTATGCAAAGACAAAGTCATACCATTTAGTAGCCAGATTTGCCATTAACTCATTTGGCATTGTATTTTTGATGCCTTGTATATCATCTTTGTGAGAAATTTAATAAACGCCTGCCTGCCTGCCTGCCTGCCTGCCTGCCTGCCTGCCTGCCTGCCTGCCCTCTCTCTCTCTCTCTCTCTCTCTCATAAATATATATGCTATAATTGCCCCTACATTGTGGCCAGGACAGTGTCATCTGGGAGATTGTGGATGGACTGGCATTTACTTACAAAGTTGATTGTATCTATTTTGTAATTGGCAGTACTGGTTTGAATTTGTTTTTAACATTTTTGAAAGTGCATCTAGCACTTCTCATATTTCAGTAAGATGAAATAGTATATTAAAATCCCTGTATTCTGCAGTCACTTATTCTTCTCTTTTATGTATGCAAGAATATGTATATGCTGGAAGAATTATAAACAATATTGTTAAATCATAGTTTAGAACCCCCTCACCAATTGCAGTGTGCTCTTCCCCCATCTTTCCTTCTCTGGCAGCCACAGAACACCTGTGCAGGCACCATACAAAACTGAGCTGAACCACTGAACAGCAGTTCATGCCTATCTGTATATTTAAGTGTATATATAACATTTCCCAGATAGTGTCCCCTTTTTTCATTTTGGTTAGGGTTTTTTTTTGTTATATGTGCTTTGAAGATATAACAGTGTTCAGTAATCTATAAAGGTAGTCTATTGACCTTGTTTGATATTAAAGCAAGTGCTGTAAGGATAGCTGTGGTGTTCTGGAACAGTTTTATGTTTACCTTGGGAAATCAATTTTTATTCCTATAAGCTGTGTTTAATAGGCTTTTTGTATTGTACAAGCTACTTGTGTACCTGAGATCAGAATTCATCTTCGTGACTAACAGATGCATTTGAGCAAAGGGAACTTTCATGGTATCTTATTCCCTTAACTTTTGTTTGGGAACAAGGATACTTATAACAAGCCAAGGACGGATAGTGCAGGTATTTGAGGAAGCTGGCCAGATAACATGTACATCTATCTGTTTTCCAGTATTGTTTATCTTTTCCTTATTCTCCTTGTGATTTGTCTACCACATGAGTGATGTGCCAATTTTAATTAGTATAACATAGGAAAAGACACATTTAGTTCAGAAAAAGATGTAAAGGTGCATTGTACTTTATGGGAATGACCATACACTTAAATATACAGTAAATATATTTACTGTATATAAATAATAAATATGCATAGTATCGGGCTGTACATATCATTGAAGGTAATAAGAAGCTATTTGCTAACTTAAGACATTTAGCTTAAATCGGTTACAGATCTAAGTCCAAAATTATCACTTAAGCATATTGTGCAGGATAATATTATTCTTTCAAATTAAAAATGTATAAAGTTTGGAATTCGTATGTCACCAGTACTTGTTGGGTTTCAGGACTAACTGGGCATGCTGAGATGTCATGCTTATGTTGCTGAGTCACTTTCGGATTTGCTTGGAACAGGCATGACTAAATAAGCCATAGAGTTCAATTTGTGGTTGAACTTGTTTACAAACATGTTTGCTGCTTGTTTACAGTAAGCCAAAGCTTCATTTAGACATCTGATTTTTGGAATTTATGGATTACAGGCCACAGAGGTCTGTGAGAATTCTCCAAGCTACACTTCTGGGGACTTTAATCAAGAAATCTAAGACATACAGGAGTTGCAAGGGATTATGTATCTGATAAGTAGTTTTGTGGGGGGTTTTGTTGCTTTTTTTATTTTTAGAGAAAATTCCTGTGCAGAGCCTAACACAACCATAATCTATTGGAACTCTCAAAGAGCTTAGCCCTGCCCACTCATTTCTCCTCTCTGTTCCACAGAATGAAAACAACTGCCAGACTCTAGGAATTCATTTGCTTCATTACTTGGAAATGCCTAGCACACCTCTGATTTATAAAAGAAATCTGATTGAGGGAATTCCTGCAGATTTCTGGGAGCTGTAGTCCACAAATTTCAAAAGTCCCATGCTTAGTTTCGTTACATTCCTGGCTCATTGAGATGTGTGACCAGAACCATTCCGCCTCTCATTTTTCAGTTTTTTAACTGGTGGTGTTTAAAGTTGTTGTTTTGTTGTTCTTTAGTTGTTCCGTTGTGTCCAACTCTTTGTGACCCCATGGACCAGAGCACACCAGGCCCTCCTGTCTTCTACTGCCTCCCAGAGTTTGGTCAAATTCATGTTGGTAGCTTTCGTGGTGCTGTCCAATCATCTTGTCCTCTGTTGTCCCCTTCTCCTCTTGCCTTCACATTTTCCCAACATCAGGGTCTTTACCAGCGCGTCTTCTCTTCTCATGAGATGGCCAAAGTATTGGAGCCTCAGCTTCAGGATTTCTCCTTCCAGTGAGCACTCAGGGTTGATTTCCTTTAAAATGGATAGGTTTGTTCTTTTTGCAGTCCAGGGGACTCTCAAGAGTCTCCTCCAGCACCACGATTCAAAAGCATCACTTCTTTGGCGGTCAGCTTCCTTTATGGTCCAGCTCTCACTTCCATACATCACTACAGGCGAAACCATAGCTTTGACTATTCAGACTTTTTTTGGCAAGGTGATGCCTCTGCTTTTTAAGATGTTGTCTAGGTTTGTCATTGCTTTTCTCCCAAGAAGCAGTCTTCTTATAATTTCGTGGCTGCTGTCACTATCTGCAGTGATCATGGAGCTCAAGAAAGTAAAATCTGTCACTGCCTCCATATCTTCCCCTTCTATTTGCCAGGAGTTGAGGGGACTAGTGGCCATGATCTTAGTTTTTTTGATGTTGAGCTTCAGACCATTTTTTGCACTCTCCTCTTTCACCCTCATTAAGAGGTTCTTTAATTCCTCCTCACTTTCTGCCATCAGAGTGGTATCATCTGCATATCGGAGGTTGTTGATATTTCTTCCAGCAATCTTAATTCCGGTTTGGGATTCCTCCAGTCCAACCTTTTGCATGATATATTCTCAATATAAGTTAAATAAGCAGGGAGACAATATACAGCCCTGTCGTACTCCTTTCCCAATTTTGAACGAATCAGTTGTTCCATATCCAGTTCTAACTGTTGCTTCTTGTCCCACATATAGGTTTCTCAGGAGACAGATAAGGTGGTCAGGCACTCCCATTTCTTTAAGAACTTGCCGTAGTTTGTTGTGGTCCACACAGTCAAAGGGTTTTGTTGTTTAAAGTACTTACTTTAAATTTAAAATAAAAATTTGCTTGCTGATCTGTCAAAAAAAGGATAGAAATTGAAAACTTGTTTTGAATGCATGTTCCATATACTTGAATAGGTCTTGCTGCCAGTTATTTGATGAACCACTGTACATTCTAAATTTTTTTTAGAAATGTATCAGTTTTCAGAAAGTAGTTAATTTTTAAAAAGGCAAAGCATGATTACTATTTTTGCATTTGTAATTGGTAAGACATTGTGCCATGTGTCTGAAATTGAACTGCTTTTTGAACCTGGTAAAGCTTTAAATTAAATTTGGTTTGATATGAGTGTCTTCTGAAATAGAAACTGGATATTATTTGGGGCATGTTCCAGATATCTGTGCATGCCTCTTCTGGATTATAGTAAGCTAAATTAAGGAGTAATGTTAGCTAAAGAATACAGTGGTGCCCTGCATAGCGATGATGATCCATTCTGAAAAAATTGTCGGTATGTGGATTCGTCACTATGCGGGGCAAAAAAGCCCATAGAAACACATTAAAACACGTTTAATGCGTTCCCATGGGCAAAAAACTCACAGTTCTGCGGAAATCCTCCATGTGGCCGCCATTTGCGCTGCCTGGTAAGTAAGGAAAGGGCGGGAAAACACAGCGGGCGGCCATTTTCTTCACCTGGCGGCCATTTTGGAACCGCCAATCAGCTGTTCTTAAAACATCGTTATGTGATAATCGGTAAGCGAAATGCTTACCGATCATCGCAAAGCAATGTTTTATCAAAGTGATCACAAAAACCACATCACTATGCGGATTCGTCATTAAACGAATTGCTCGTTATGCGGGGCACCACTGTACTATTAACTTTTTATATTTCTTTTACAAATCAAGACTTATTTTCCATTTACCAGAGTAAATAAATAAAAGTGAAGATAAAATATTAAAAATTATGTCATTTTAACTCCTGTTTCTTTTTTCTTAAGAATTCAGAAAGAACTTGCAGAAATTACATTAGACCCTCCTCCAAACTGTAGGTGAGTTTTAAATGGATTCTGTTTATTTCGAATATGAAAATTCTACTGGAGGTAAATCTTGCCTGTGTCTTGAATCTCATTAGTGAGACTTAAGGCATAAAAGCTTATTGTTATCATTTATACTTTTCCACGGTAGGAATAATGATGACATAGATAAATTGAAAACATGATAATCAGATCTATCCAGATCTGTGTTGTTCTTTAATTCTTATTAAGATACTTTGATTTAGTTATTGATGTGTTGTTGGCCAATGGTTATGTTTCTAGCACAAGAAAAGAAAGCTGATTTGAAGGTTTTCTTCTTTTTCCTGAGCATTTTGTAGGGCTGGGTTTTAGCTAGGGTAGATTTGATTTAAATAAAAGTCATTTAAATTATGATTCAAATTTTAAAAACTGGATTTTGTGACTAATTAAATATTTAATTTTTTATTTAAATTGTTATTTAAATCACTTTAAATTTGATTTTATCCACCCTGGTTATGGTATGTGCATTCATTTTGAATATATAAAATAAAGGCACTGAAATCTTGTTTTGTATTTCACTTATCCTGTTCTCTCAGAACAATGGTTGGCTATGTGAGACAACATGTTTGCTAACTAGATATAAATTTATTTTTGGAATTTGACTGGAAGTTGTACTTTCATATTTACAGTGTTGCTTGTATATTGTATGTCTAATTCGAGGAAGTAAAAGTATATTAATGTACATGGTTGTTGTCAAATTTAATTCTTTATTGTTTGCTCATGTGATATCCTGATAAAACATGATGTCATTAAGCAGTTGTTAGTAAGCCATTGCTTCCCATTTCAAATTTAAACTGAATGCATTGTGTTAGGCAAGACTTTTATGTTCGTTTGGTTTGTTTTGGTCAAAATTATAATATGGTCATAACATGTTTTGAAGTAGTTCAAGTACTAGGCATTGAAGTAATATTGGAATAATGGTGATCAAAAAGTATTTCAGGGAATTACAATAACAGTTATTTGGGAATAAAACATGTTACTTTCCATTTTGATCTATAACATTTAGTAACTGAAGATCTCAAATGTAAATGAAAGCTGTTTGGATGGCAGGTGTTTAGTTGATATTGCTCACAGATGCCTCTTCATGTATTGATTTCAACTGATTCCAGCTTGTTGGCTCTGACTTTAAAGTACTTTGATCTGGGGAAAATTGTTGATCTTGGTAAAGAAGACTTTTCTATAGAATGATGAATTTTCTTTACATCATAGTACCTACTCCCTTTTGTATGTGAGGTGCTGCTATTGTGGAAAAAATGCTTAGTAGGTACAGTTTCAACAATGAAGCATGAATGTGTATTTTTAAAAAGCAAAATTGTAATTAAAAACTGTAGCTAGAGTTAAGTTTTTGCATTTGTTGCATGCTTCTGTCTAACTCCTGAACATCAATAACTTTGAGATATACCGGTAATATTCTCGTGCGTGTTCCCATGGACTGGGCATAACATAATATGTGTGGCTGAATCTGACCCTTATTAATAGAACTCTTCATTTAAAAACACTGATTGGAGTTTTATGACAGTGTGAACCTTACAGATCTGCTAGCCATGCACCCCACTGTGCCTTTTTTTCTTGTTGTACTGCTTCCGGTTTTAGAAACATTCTATTCTAAAATATTCCCATTTCTAAACAAAAATATTTGTGTTGTCAAGCTGTGGCTTAAGTCTTAGGGAACAGCTGTGCTTCTTCCTCAGGATGGCAAATGTCAAGATGAGCAACACTGGAGGAAAATTGTGTGTGTGTGTGTCTTAAGGCCTGTGAACCTATTTCTCAGCTACTACTAGGACTTACTGATTCAATGTAAAAATGCAGTTCATCATTTTCATCATCTTGATACTGCAGAGCTGAAAAGGGACCCTATGAATCATGGAGTCCAGTCCCTATCAAGGAAGCTCAGTGGGAAATTGAACTCCCAACCTCTGCCTCCACAGCCAGATAACTTGCCTGTGCTTGTGTAGTTTTAGCATACCAAAAAGGTGAGAGGCAAAGAAGATGAGTGAGTGTGAAGGAGAGCTGCGTAATGTGCTGTCCTCCGCTGAGATCAGACAGGAGATGACAGCTGGTTGCGCGGTGGGAGAGTTCATCAAGTTAGGAGAAGGAGAGACTGGTAGAGACAGAGCTGTGGAGATATTTCTGACAAAGACCAGACAAGCAAGGAGAGGGGCGGAGCTAGAACTTATGAGGTGGGACGAGGTTATAAAAGAGGGAGGAGAGGAGAGAAGGGGGGGTAGAACAGGAAATTGAGAGAGAGGACAAGAGTACACAGACTGAAGGAATAGAACCAAAAAGGTATGGAATAATTGAGCTACCCCAGGAATTCCCGAATCTTAGAACTGCTGGAGGGCTTATTGCCCGACCCCCCTAGTATCACGGATAAGGAAAAGATAAAGTCCAAAGTAGGATGGAGCATGATAGCGGTGCCTCGGTCCCAGGACATAGGGAAGAAAGTGATGTACATTGGTACCACCAACTACCTTCCGTATCTAGAGGGGAATTTGGTGAAACACCCCTGTTGCGGGACAGTCTGTGCTGCCTTGAGCTTCCCAACGTGGCCTCAAACAGAACAAGGTCCGCATGGGATGATGAAGAAATGAGAGAAGGAAGGAGTTCAAATATAACACATGTTAAGAGTTACAAGTTGCTGCCTGAGTTGAGTTATTTGGATCCTTTCTATGTTAACAACCAAGAAGTGAAAAGAAATAAAGAAACCATGTTTGAACCGTTATCTTCTTCCCCGTCTTTTTTTCCCCACTGAAAAGAAAGGTCCGCCCCTCCTAGAGAAACAACCCAATCACAGTGAGAACTAGCAGAAGCATGTATCTGGGGCCATTACACCATTGCAGAGCAGGAAATGGAGGAACAGCTTTGTGAGTTGTGAACCTGGTTGCAGAAGCCTTGACAGTGATGTAGCACCTGAAAAAAAATCATGTGTCATTCGTGCTGTATTTAAGTCCATATGGAATGTATGCCCTAGTAGTAATGGTAACAACTGCTGCAGTGCTGAGCCCATTTTGCTTCCCTCAGCCACAGGATATTTTTTCCTGAACCTAGGTTATCATATTACTTGATTAGTTGTTTTTTTTCTGGATTTAGGGATTATTTACCTCCATCTTTCTTTTCCCTGGTTCTACAATTGGCTGGCCACTTCAGTGTGTGCCTACCCAACCTCTGTGACATTGCAAGGACCTCCTTGTGACATTTAACTTTCTTGCTGCTGAGCTGCTCATTACACTTTCTGGTGTGAGAAAGTGAAAGTGAAACTTTCCCAGCTTTGAAAAGTTCCTGCTTGCCAGAAAACAAATCTGCTAACATCTTGGTGTCAGACAGGTGGTTCTGTGTATGGCTGTATCTGAAACCACATTTTGAAGATGGCTCCTAAGAGCACAGTTTTTAATACAGTATGTAGTGGCTGGATTCCACAATTGACTGGCCACTTCAGTGTGTGCCTACCCAACCTCTGTGACATTGCAAGGACCTCCTTGTGACATTTAACAAGAGCCTGCCCCCCCCCCGCAGCCCTATCTGTGTATTTAGTTATGGTTAATATTAATTTATATGAGCATCATCTGTTCTTGTGGCAGCTGGAATAAAAAAGTAACAGAGTACAAGTAAAACTTAATGATGCCCTTTCCCAGCTTCACCTTTTTCTCATCTCCACACCCAGCAACCAGCCTAATGTGTTTGTTGAACTCTGTTCCTGCATGATTTCCAAGGCCTACCTGTAGCATTTGCAATGCAAGGCTAGTTTAAATTTTTTGCAAGATACAAACTTTAAACATCTAACTGTTTCCAACCCTACCTGCTAGTACTGTACTGCATTCTACAAAGCAATATAAGCATGTTTTGGGGTCATGCTTGTGTATGGAATGGACATTTTGTCTCTTGCTAAACTTAGTACAGAGTTGTAAATAAATTTTGCTGATGTTGGATTTCACAGTCAACTAGCACTTTCTACTCTGCACCATGCAAAGTCAATTTTTAAAATATGATTGATTGTTCCTGCTGGAGTTTATAAAGTATTAGCTCTCTCACCCGCTTCCCTGACTTCTTCCATACATAAAGGTTGTAAATGAGGTTTGTCTGCTTCTCTAGATTGCAGAAATGATCTGCAAACGTTTAAACTCCACCTCCTTTCTTGCTGCTGAGCTGCTCATTGCACTTTCTGGAGTGAAAAAGTGAAAGTGAAACGTTCTCAGCTTTGACAAGTTCCTACTTGCCAGAAAACAAATCTGCTAACATCTTGGTGTCAGACAGGTGGTTCTGTGTATGGCTGTATCTGAAACCACATTTTGAAGATGGCTCCTAAGAGCACAGTTTTTAATATGTAGTGGCTGGATGTCAAACTTCATCCTGATTTTGTTCCATGGGTATCACCTGCGTTGTAGGGAAGCTGCTTGCCCATGTTGTGCTGAAGAGGCTCCAGGTGCTTGCAGACAGAGTCTATCCGGAATCGCAGTGTGGATTTTGAGCTAATAGATCCACCACTGACATGGTATTCTCCCTCAGACAGTTGCAGGAGAAATGCAGGGAACAACAACAGCCACTCTTTGTGGCCTTCATAGATCTCAGAAAGGCCTTTGATTTGGTTAGAGGAATGACCTTTTTTTGATATACTTCCCAAGATTGGATGTCCACCTCGACTCCTTAACATCATCAGGTCCTTCCATGAGGGAATGAAAAGCACTGTAGTTCTTAATGCCTCAACATCAAATCCCTTTGACATCCGAAGCGGAGTAAAACAGGGCTGTGTCCTCGCACCAACCCTTTTTGGAATCTTTTTTGCTGTCATGCTGAACCATGACTTTGGAACTGCAACAAAAGGTGTCTATCTCCTGACTAGATCAGACAGAAAGCTCTTTAATCTCTCTAGATCCAACTAGATGTGAGAGCACACAATGATGCTGGCTTTGGCAGAGTGGTTTTGGCATCCTTCCTACTGTGATGTCCCACCTGCTGGTAAGTGAAGCTTGCTAATCACC